CTTCGGTATTACCTCGTGGTGGTTGTGATTAATCTGATGATGAAATGTGTGACGACCAAATCCCCAAATTTCTAATTATGCAGTATATTTCCACATATTTGTCATAAAAGTAAAACTGGAAAATAAACGTATAAACTGAAAGCTTGACATGATACAAAGCATAGTTTATTAAAATAACACAGTTATAAAAAACAGGCATGTTAGGATTTCAGAAGGCTGTAGACCTCCCACTATGTTTGTTTTTGTATGTTATCATGATTTATTATTAAATGAACATATTATCCTCAAGGCCCATCATTCCTCTGAAATGCTTTATGATGTCATAGCAAAAGGTTAAATATGGTGGATACATGGTATCAGCGAGTACTAGCAGTTCACCTTGTTGGTATCTTATTGCGTTCTTTCCCACTGCCCTGAGACGGAGCTCATATTTAAAAGAGATTTACATGAAATCCAAGCAGCACGCTCTAATTGTACTGATGTCTGCCTCTCCCAAAAGGTCAGAGATGTGATGGGATTACATTTGGAACACTTCAGTGTGATTAAAAGGCCGGTGGGAGAAATGGAGGCAATCAAAGCAGAATCATGCTCTCTCCTGCAGTCGCTTTAGTTTTACGTCAAGAAAATTGGTGATCTGATTTTACATTCTGAGACTAATTTAAATACATATTTTCGAGACATTTTCAAATTCAAATTATTTGTAGGAAAATACCACAAATAAGTAGAGAAAGATATAACCTTTTGATTTAAGCTTCTGACCTCTACTTCTTTTATCTCTTCAGACTTGGCTTTGCTTTGAAATGTATTCATTCATTCATTCTGGAACAAATTTAGATATATGTGTATATATTCTAGATATTTTGCCATTCAAAGTATCTGTGAGAAACACCCTGAAGAGGAAGAGAAAGAGCTAGTTTTTATTGGAGTCTGTGACCTCTGAGACTTTTTATCTCTTCAGCCTTTTATACACTTTGAAATGTATTATTTACTAATTACTTACTTACTAATTTAATTATGTACTTACTTATTCTCGGCCAACCTATGTTTGATGTAAAAGTTTCCTAAAATATGACTGCATCACATACACTCGTCTGTATAGGCACAGCAGGAACAAACAACCCCCAAAAATGAGTAATAATAATAATTATAATTTTGCCTCTGAAATAGTATATTTACTATCAACTTCTTTAAGTCTTTTTAAAAGCTAAAACATAAATTGGTAGTCTCTTCACTTTTGCTTCAGTGAAATCCTGCTGAGCAATCAAGATAGTCATAGAAAGTTTCAAAATCTCAAAGAAAGCGGAGGAATGCTTCCTTTGACTTAATAATCATTATGTACATGATTAATTACTATATAGCCTAAGAGTAGTAAAAGATCATACTGTACATGCATTTAATTAGTGTGCACTTTGAGACCTGCTCCCCACCAAATCCAAAATGCTGAACTTTTTTATGGGAGGAATTTCTATTACATGCTCTCTCTCAAAATGAGGGTTAGAACGATGCACAGCACAAGTCACAAGGGTTTTTTTTTTCTCAATTGGTCTCAGGGGATGCCTGAGGTTTCACTGAGGAGACAGGCATCACAGTCACACAATCCCACAGACGAGGGAGCCCCCTGCTCCGCTGCTCTAAAATTAGGGCAATATATCAGAAAGAGCCATCAACACTTATGTCAACATTGTTTCATGAGAAATATGAGAATTTTTTGTGTTTATGTCCTGTCGTTTCACGCATTTGCCTGAGTGATGATGGCAGGCCGGTGTCTCATTAGTGTCACAAATTTTATTTTTGAATTAATTCTTTTTCATACCCGTAACATAAAGTATGCATTCATTTCCCAGTCTCGTTGGTATCTGATAGATAAAGCACGGTGATTTATATTGCTCCTGCATGAGATGCTTATGCATGAGCAAAGGAAAAACAATCATCAAAGTGACCATATAATATATGGAAACTGCTACAGACTCGAGAAATATTAGCCACAAAAACAAGCAGCGTATTATGGTCCCAGCATGAGGTGCATGTTTTAATTTCAAAACAGTCATTCATTTCCATAAATACAACTATAATATGCTGATATTTTCATCTGTTATCACTCACGGAGGTCATTAATAAAGTGAAATGCCCCTTGAAATCTGCACTAAACACAGATGCACACAGATGTGGAAACAAATGTGTGTTTATGCTGATTTGCTCTGTAATAAAATGTGCTGTATTAAAATTGCCAAAAGGAAAAAGAAGGAAAAACACCCCCATTTGTGCTTCTCAGTCACAATAAGAAGGTGTTCTCTATCAAAAACATTTATGAACTCTTTCAGTCAGCATGATTTGTAGAAATGCAGAGGAACATGAATGAGCAATGTCTAATTATGTTCCCTTCTGTTGTTCCGACTTTGTTCTGGACACAGTTGTGTGTTGTAAATCTCAGTCCCAGCGCCCTGCATGCATACCTGATACTCAGCTAAAACTCTGTAGGTTTGTTTTTAAGCAAAAACTAAAGCAGCACCAGTTTCCAGCCCCTACGTCAATTCATCACTGTGCCCCTCAACAGTAACCAACTCTGTTCCACTGAGATACCTAATAATATATTAATAACATTTGGACACAGAGCAGCGATTACGTCTCCAGCCCAAAACAAGAGCAAAACCCAAAGCACAATACAGTGCAACCAGTAATACATTTTCCAATGATCTGCTGTAAATGGGCGCACTGGTCTGTGATAAGAAGAAACAAATATTATCTCTGGTCTCTGCTAAATCAGCAGAACAGGGTTATCGATCCGGCTCCTCACATTGCCAATAGAATTTCAAGTCCCCTTGGAAGCAAAGACGGCTAGCTCAGGGTATTGATGTCATTATCATGATTTCAGTGTAGCGAGATGGTGGTCTCCTACAACTCCCTGAACCTCAGAAGATCCTCTCCAGATGTTAAATGCAGTGACTGAAATGTACTTCTGACACTACTGTAAGGGCTGTTGAAATTATAAACAAGATATCTAATATTATTATTCTTATTTTTAAGAAATGACACATTTCATATTGTCTGGTCTTGTGGGATCTGCAATTTCAGATGCTGCAGTTATTATTAATGAGACCTTTGATGGCATTTTGGGTGCCTCATAAAGCTACTCAGCATGTAGGCCCATTCAGAGGAAGCTCAATCAATAAGTCAGGACATTTGAGTGAAACACACAGAGACTGTTTATCCTGTGCAAAACTCACCCCACCAAAGACCAGTGTGGGGGGTAAAGATCACATGAGGTTCCTGTGCAGTAGTCCAGTACTGTATGTACAGTGAGCCACAGTCAGCTACAACATTAAAACTAGTGCCACATAATGTGCGGTTCCCTCTTCTGCTAACAAAACAAAATGGAATCACAGGGCTACCCTGCGGGATCCGGGTCTTAGGATCCCGGGGGTTCTAGAATGGGACGTCCTTGGATTGGGCTTGTTGTGGTGCACTGGATTGGGGTCTGGAGGATATGAAGGCAGTGCTGCTCCCATGGGTCATGTTCCCAGAGCCATTACTGAGCATTCAAGGTGACTTTATTTATACCCATAGGTAAATATGCTTTACAGCAAAATGATAGCATTTGGCATCCGTTCACAAAACACCCACAGCTATTTAAACCTGACAGACACATATTAGGTAATTAGACAAGATGAATCCAATCAAAAAACAGTTGTTATTAAGTAAGCATGTTCCCCGTTACCGGGGACTTCTGTGGTCCAATGATCCCCGAGGGTCGTTGTCATGTTCCTCGAGCTGCGACGGAGCAATTTTACGGTGTGATTTAGCACATTTTTTCTAAGGGAGTTCTGTTGCTATGGTGACATCCTAACAACGTCTTATGTCTGGTACGTGTCAAAGTCAGTCCGTGCATTGCATTGCTGGCGTGTGTCATGGATATTGACTTTGACACATACCAGCGATGCAATGCAAGGACTGTAAAGTTGATCATTGTATTGTTAATTTTATTTACCCACCGTTTGGTTTTTAAATTTTTTTGGCTGCATCTGACAGTGTTACAATAATTTGTTGCTTTTTTTTTCCTCCCACAAAGTTTCAACTGCATGCAAGCAGCTTGACATTTAACAAACCACAACACATGCAGAAGTTAGTTAGAATTTAAGTATGATGACAACTCCCTCCAAACTGCACTCTGTTAACAACAACAGAGGAGTTCAGATGACTTCAAGTTGGCAGACAGCACGGCTAACAAGCTGTAGCTAGCTAGAGGTGTTTATAAAAAGGTGTGCATGTGCAGACGGGGCCTCGCGTACGTTATCATAGGTCATCTGCCTTAAAGGCGCAAAGAGAGATGTCTTCAACCAGGACATGTGATGCGGGGCATGATATCCCACACTGTATGTGTTGTACTGAGTCTGAAGGGGAACTCTGTATTTAGTTCAGTGCTGACCAGCTTTTTACCAGACAGGTGATGCTGTGTTATGTTAAGGGACTAAAAATATAAGAGAGGCTTCTGGATTTTTCCTTGACATATACACATCCAGACAGATTATCCACTCTCTAAAAGAAATACAGCACAAAACACAAAAGACCTCTTTTATATGAACCTGATGGCAAAGATCCAACAGGCATGTACAGAGTAAAAAGCACTGGAACTGGTCATATCTTTAGTGCTCGCAGATTCAATAGCATGGCTACATCTTGCTGAGCGTTACTCTTTTTATTTCTTTGTTGATAGAATTTGAATATTTCCCAGCCTGAACATGAGTTAAGAGCCGTTGAAAAGAACCGGCACACAGCGCTTTAATATTTATGCTTTTATGTCCTTCGGTTTGTCTCGATACACGCTTAATCACCCAGGGAAGGAAATCCCAGACAGCTGATTCTGTCCCTGTCAAACTGAGAACGCTACATCCAGATGAACACAGTCAACTTTCTGGGATTTCCTTCAGTTGCCGAGTTTGCTTGAGACTGGATGAATTTGAACAAAGCAGTGAATGTTTCTTTCCTGTGTTTTCTCTCGTCAGATGCAACAATCGGACCCAGTGCATTGTAATCACGGGTTCAGATGTCTTCCCCGACCCCTGCCCAGGGACCTACAAATACCTGGAGGTCCAGTATGAGTGTGTTCCCTACAGTAAGTATGGCCCTTCTGTCATGAATTGTAAACTCTCCCTTTTCTCTCTCCCGACACCCCTTCCCCATCGTTTCCCCCCTTCCTCCTTGCCCTCTGTCTCTCCTCCTGTTGTACCATATTCTGTCCCATTTCTTCCAGACAGTCTCCTTTCTTTGTCTGCAACACCTTCCAACACCCTATTTCTCCTTCTCTTCTTCCATCTGTGTCACTGTGAACTTTTCATGAAATATGACCTGTAAAACCCTTTGGTCCTCTTCCACACGGCCCTTATTATCGATGTGCTCACTGTGTTTCCAGCAGATCGACAAGCCTGGTTATGAGGTAGCAGACTAGAGGGAGGGCAGAGGAAGTCATGCTGACTCTCCTTAATAGCAAGACAGTGTTTCATTACTCAAGTCTTGTACGGAGAAGTCTATCAGGCATAAGCACAGCTCACCTTGATGGCTTAATATACATTCGCACAACAGGTGTTGAAATATGTTAGCAGATGTTTCATTATGTAACAGAACAAAATAGCTCCACTCATAAGTCAACAAGCTAATATTTCATGTAAAGAGATAGCGTTAACATTTTGTCTGTTCCTCTGGTGTTAAAATATTCATTGCCATTCAGCTTCCAAACAATCTTTAGATTGCCCTTTGTATTAAAATTCTCCTTTGTCCTTTAAGCTGCCATGTTCATTTGCAATTCGTGAAGGAAATTCCCCCGTGTAACCTTTACAAACTGATTAATGACAAAGATTTAGATGAATTGCCAGAATCACTAATCAGGTGGAACTGAAATAATTAGAGTCGGGGTGATGGGACAATAGTATTTGGCAGCTCTTGTAGATCCAAATGAGTATTTTGCACTCTGATGTCTTTGGATGTGTTGCAGTCTTGATTCAGCTCAAAACAGAAATGAAATAGAAATCGAAATAAAACACCTGTATTCTGTTTCTCCTTAACACATCTGTTCAACGCTGCTCATTACCAGTAAACCTGCTTAAGCTGTTCCCCTTAGTGTTGAATTGGAATGCATTAGTGAACATCATTAGATGGTGAAACTCATTACAACTTAAAGGTTAACCTCTCTGAGGCTTTGAGGACCTGTAATTAAACATGGAATAAGCAGTAATGGGCATTCGAGTCCAACTTACTGAGGAAAGACGAATCCTGGAGGTCCTACCTCAGACTGCACTCAACTGCTACCTTCTTTCTTTTCTTTGGGGGGGGGGTTAGAGAGGCTAGGGGGAGCTCACCTTATAGTCAAGCAACGTATTGATTCTACGTCTTGCTGTGATGCTGCAAACTTTAATAGTAGGATTAACCTCAAGGTGCACTCGTGTCCACCCGCTGTTATGATTGTCTTTTGCCTTCACATCTCGCAGAGGAAACAGTCTAGGCTGCTAGTGTGGTGGTGAAAAATAAACTTCTGACCAAGGACTCTCAGCCCTAGAAAAGTCTGTCTAACCAATGAAAATAAAAACAAGTCCTCACTCTAAACAGTTTCAAACATGCATGTCTGTAGCCCCATCTTTTTGCTTCTCAAGGTCCATGCCCAACCAGAATAGGACCAAGAACACAGAATGTATCCTATCGCAACTGCCCTGGTAAGTGTATAGTGTTCTCCCAGTCTGATTCAGTCCACACAAGCCCAGTCCAGCCTTTCCTATTCAACCCCTACTGTAAACAGTGATAGACTTTGATTTATAGGAAAGTTGCCTGTTTTGTTGTTCTCCTGTAACCAATCCTCTGTCTCCTCAGCCCTCAGCAAAAAAATAATATTAATCCATGCATCTCATTTTGTAGAGTCAGACTAATGCAGATTGAATAGATCATATGCCAAATAGAGAGGTTCATGATTAACAACATTTCAGCAGTCCAGAAGCTTAGGAACCCCCGGATTTGCAGACTTGAGTAGATGTTTTTCAAAAGAACACTTGAAATCCCCATTAAGCTGATCAGCAAGGGGACCAAAGACAGTGTCCTCGTTTAGCCCGGTAACTACCACCCCTCAAAATCTCACTGTCCCCAAGAAACGCAAGTAGCAGTTACACAACAGAAGACTTAAAATGTTGTTTTTTTCTCACCAGCTGAATGTATTTAATCCATTCGGTCTATTTTCCAAGTCTTTGCATAATTACACTTCTGTGCAAGCAGCGTGTGCAATGACTTACCTACATTCCAACCATTTTCCTCCTTTGGCTTTATAATTTGGTTCTTGTCATGAACTGCCCTCATTAGTAGCATTAGCTTCATATTCCAGCCAAGGATGTAAATTTTGTCTTCACCTGGCACTGAGTCACCCTTTGAATTGGCTCCAGTAATTGCTTGAATCAGGCAACATAAAAGCCTCGATGTTTCTTTATTAAGATTGTTCTATGCAAGCAATTTCGAATCGGTGGGAAAAAAAGAGGATGATTCCTTCTCTATTCTTATTTGTAAAACTGCAGAGTCGTGCCAGTTGGCATAAGCAGGCCTCATTGCTAATATTTTCATTTTCATCACCTGTTAGTACAGGTAAACCCCTCAGCTCCGAGTGACAGTGTTGGCCAGAACAGGAAAAATAGGATAAAAAATACAGCATGAGCATCGAGTCCTCTTTGATGGCTTTGTTTAGCCCCCTCCCACCTCCCACCTCTTCCTTTTTCTTGAGTATATTTAATGTAATGCTTCAATTCAACACCAGGATACCTAACTGAGTTGACAGCAGACATGTGTTCACAAAATAATAGAAAGCCAGATTATTTACCGGGGTTATTTAATTACAAGTACTTCTTAAAAAGCAAGAATTCCCTAGAAAAGAAAAGAATGTAGTTTCCTGGGTTAAATGTGGATTCGAATGTGTCTCATGCTTGTTTTAATGTTGCTGTATATAAACTGACTTAATTTCTTCCCTTCCCCTGTGCAATCTGCAGGAAACCTCCTGGGTATCTGACTCACTCTCTTCATCCACTGACCGATTTCTGATCACACTGATTGCTATTTCTATTTTTACATTTCTACTTACATCATCAGGTCTTCGGTCATGTGTTCTCCCTTTCTTTCCAGATTTCCTTCACCCGTGTCTCTCCGTCTGCTTCTCACCTCTTCTATTTTGTGTGGCTGAGGCAGCTTCTGAGAACTGTTGTTAGTTTGTTTGATTCCTATCCATGTGAGATCTCTTAGTTAGGTGCAGCACACTTGAATTTCTTCTGCAGAATGGAGTGCATTCATTTGTGGATCCTTTTGAATCGCAAGTTTCATAGTATTTTTTTTTCTTTTTTGCCACAGAAGCCAAGATCAGACTCAACAGTTTGTGACGGATTCAAATTTTAATGTGAACATGTATACAAAAGGAGTGTTGCAGGCCCCGGATAAAAATGTATGATCACGTTAACGCTTTTTGTGAAAAACAGACAGTCACAAACACATAGGAATGTAGACTGAAGCGCACAAGATCAGAGGTGTGCAGAAATAATCGTTGAATCAGTGAAGTAAAGTACGAGTGCACTTCAAACACTCCGCACATAGATATTACTTTGTTGTTGACGCTTCATAAAAGTTCAAATTAAAAGAAATAAAACTCACTTAAATAAGAGTACCATTTGATAAATACCAGGTTCCTTAACTCCACCCAAAAAAGCCAAAGACACACCTAATTTAAATTTTTGCTGATTTCCACTTCAAGGTTTTCTCATTGTTCTCGCTGAAGTTTTGAGGTCTCATTCTAACTACTTGACACATCAGGACATAATAGTGAGCGCTGAATTTGAAGTTTGATCTTGGAGGATAAATTAAGGTCCAAAACACAATTTAAAGAAACAAAACGACACTGAAACCGTGTGCTCGAACACTATAAGCTGCTCGGTCTCTTGGTCACAGCTCATGATGTGAAGAAGCAGTTAAAATAAAATAAAATTTTCTTTACCTTGAATTTCAGATCAGCCAAATTTAAATCAGGTTTTTGCCTTTTAAGGGCAGAGTGGCAGAATTGTTTTGATATCTCACTCACAGTTTTTCTCTCGTTCATGTACAAATACCACTGACTGGATTTCCCTTTCTGCAACGTTGTTACCTCTTAAACAGTGTACATTCAACACAAACAGATTACTGCTGTCCTGTCTTGAATTGTCCAGTCTGATCTAGGCTTTAGATGTACCTTGCTTATATACTGCTCTCTCTCTATATATATTTTCCATTATTGTATTGTTGCAGTTCAGAATTAGAAGCCACTCACTTGCAATGCATATGGAATTCTTTTTTTTTTTTTTAAGTTTTAGTGAAATGTGAAATGTTTTATCGGCTATTGACATCTCAGTTTAATGGACTGAATAATGCTTATTAGCACAAGTGCATTCAGAGTGCCTTGTTTGAATGCGCTCATGATGGCTAATTTATAGCAGACTCATATGGACACAAAAACATCTATTCAGATTGCGCACGCTCTTATGGAACATAAAATTAAATACATTTTTCCACAGTGAGTGCACGAGAGGTATATTCATGCATTTTGCTCCAACAATTTACAGTGATTACCTGCTCCCTTGGTCTGCAATGAACTTATTTGTGCATGGCTTCATCTTTTTAAAAGTGAAAATAATGATAAAAATGTTACATGGAGACTTTTGCATTGTATTTTTCCCACAAAATTAAAATTGGATCTTTATTACATTAAAACCTGCTTTAATTGAATAACATGATGTAATCAATTACACTGCTCAAAAAACCCCACTTAAATCGCACATAGAAAAGCTTTTTTGATATAAAATGTGTAATTCATAAACCCTTTGCAGGCAAGGTTCAAAATTATACCACCAATCAAAGTTTAAAATTGAAATTAGAGGCTGCTTCAACTGGTGTCATAGTGTGGCTCCGGGTGAGATAGCAGACGGTGACCTGGCAGATCTCCTTCTAGACCTGGATCATTTCATCAGTGACATCCGAGACAGTCTGGGTGCTCCCAGAGGTTCTCAGTTGGATTCAGGTCTGGGGAAATGAAGGCCAGTCAATGGCATCGATGCCTCTGTCATCCAAATTACCTATACACTAGAAGAACCCTCAGCAACAGCATAAGGTCTGACAGTAGGTCCCAGGATTTCATCCTGGTACCTAACAGTGATCAGCTGTTTAGCATGTGGAGGTCTGTGCAGCTGTCCAAGGATATGCCTCCCCAGTCCATCACTGACCCACTGCTAAGCACTCATGCTCAGTGCTACTGCAGGCAGCATAACACTGACCAAGGCATCTCCAGATTCTTTCACGTCTGTCACTTGTACTCAGTGTGAAGCTGCTCTCATGGCGTGTCAGCGGAGAACACGCCAATTCTGATGTTCACTGGTGAATGCCAATCAAGCTGCACTGTGCTAAAGGCCACACCAAAGGACGTCAGCCCCTAGTCCCGTCTTCATGGTGTGTGACCGTTTGGTATTCGTATTAATAGCCCACTGGGGTCATTTTGTAGGGCTGGGATTGGGGAGGCCCTGTCCAGTTCTCATAACATACGCTCCTACAGGAACCTGAATGTGCTGCATGGAGCGTCTCGTGATAACAGTGTTGACAAGGACGCTAGCAAAAAGCAAAAGCAGAGAAACGTGGTGCAGGAAGGACATGGAGAGTAATGGTCTGTGGCCACCACCTGCTAAACTGTTGTCATGTTGTTGCCTCGCCTGTTGTAGCTTTCATTGCACCAAAGCAGGTGAAATGGATTGCTCCCTAAATTTGACCTTTTTTTTGAGCAGTGTATTTGTACAACTTTCCACTTAGAAAAAGGAAATAATTAATCTTGACTGAGTTTTGGTGGTGAGTGGATTTAAGGGAATGACAAGTCACACTCTAGAAAGTATCGTGTGATCTGTCCAACTGTAAGACAGGGTTTCAGTTTCTTTGAGAGACAAAAATGTGACTTTTACTTTATGCAAATTTTTACCATATTTCTAACTAAAGAGAGATTTTTCTGAAATGGTTAGAGTCGTGGATATAACACTGAACGTATGTTAATAACAATTTTCTCACTTGCCAATGAAAAAAAAATCCACCCACCACTTTGCTACAAAACTACTTTGACAATTAGTCACGACGCCAAATGTGACCACACAGTTTTTGGTGCTCTAATCTAACCCTTTTTCTGAGACAGGACTTTGACGTCTGTGTGTCATCTTTCTCACAACTTTCCTGTTTCTAATAGGTGTACCCGTCTTGTTCCATGTCTCATAACGTGTTTCTGCATATGTAATCGTGGCGATGACACTTAATTCATATTAATCTGTTTTTTCCCTTGCACCCCTTTCATTCTCTCTTCCAACGCTTAAAATAGAAGTGGAGCAAAAAGGTAAATAACAGACACGACCCAAACCCTAGCTCCTTGTTTTGTGGCATCTAGTTGTCAGTTACCTATTTTCCGATGGTGGCCTCTAGAAACCCATTGCAGACGTTATCGTCAGAACCTCCGCACCCCCCAACTGTAACGTTAGCAGCCAGTGTAGTGCTACAAGGGAAGTAAAGCTGGCCATATAAAGACGGTACACAAGCAGCCAAAAGATGTAAATGGGGGAATATTGGCTGCAGTCCATAGGGGCATCCTCTTCTCATTCTCCCTGGGTGCTTTGCTACTCAGCAGAATCTCATATTGCTTGGCTTCTAAACCCTTTTCCATAGCATGCCATGGTAACAGTGTTTCCTGGCCTTCTTTTCAAGCTTTTGCTATCAACTGTCCCTTTTCTCTTCAAGATCCCTACCCTTCTCACTGTTTTCCCCATTATTCTCACCAGACCACTTGCTGCTCTTTTCTCCGTTGATTCTTATGCCTCCTTTACCTCAGACAACAACCAAAAACACCTCAAGAGACCCTTTCAAAGAAAAGAAACCAAACATTTTTTATTACTTTTCAATTTGAATGATTGTGATATTTGCACCACTTCGTAATGACGAGCCTCTCAGGTATATACCATTAGAATAGGTGGTGTAACTGAGACATCAGAGTATACACATTTTGCAGACTCCGTTGACTCCTGCTCTGTCATAACCTCTCCCGTCTGTTGCCAAGTGACTTTAGTTGGCTGCATACTTTTATTTACAGGACCAATTGTTATGTTAAGTTTTGTTTCTGTTATGTTTTCCCCTCATTTGTGTTTTACTCAACAGTTAATGTCTATGAGGCCAGTCTTCTTTTCGTTTCCGACTACTACATATTTAAACATTATGCTTAATAACTTTTCTATTTCTTTGTATTTTTTCTTTCTATGCACAAAACGTCCTCATATTGGCTATAGATGTTAGTTGTGTTTTGGCCACTCGTTGATATGTGTTTGTCCCCACTCTTATTGGACAACCTGTAAAACAAAATGAAGAAATTAGCTATTAAATCAGCTATTTAAGCGTGTGTATATATATGTATATGCTTTTCACATTTTAACCTTTCTGCTTCTCATTCTACTCTTTCTCCATTGCTAGTTTTTCTTTGTCCTGGGACTCTGAAAGCTGTCGGTGAACCTTCCTTTATATTTGAAGCGGAGCAGCAAGCTGGAGCCTGGTGCAAAGACCCACTGCAAGCCGGCGACAAAATCTACTTCATGCCTTGGACTCCGTACCGAACAGACACTCTAATCGAGTACTCCTCCTTGGATGACTTTCAAAATGCCCGTCAAACCATCACCTACAAGCTGCCGCACCGGGTGGATGGGACTGGATTTGTGGTCTACGACGGGGCGGTGTTTTTCAACAAGGAGCGTACCCGAAACATCGTGAAGTTTGACCTGCGGACTCGAATCAAAAGCGGTGAGGCAATCATCAACAACGCCAACTACCACGACACGTCGCCCTACAAGTGGGGAGGAAAAACAGACATTGACCTGGCGGTGGATGAGAACGGGCTGTGGGTGATTTATGCCACAGAGCAGAACAATGGTATGATGGTGATCAGCCAGCTGAACCCCTACACGCTACGATTTGAAGCTACCTGGGAAACGACCTATGACAAGCGCTCAGCCTCCAATGCCTTCATGGTCTGTGGAGTACTCTATGTGGTCCGCTCCACCTACGAAGACAATGAAAGTGAAGTCAGCAAGAGCCTGATTGATTATATTTACAATACCAAACAGAACCGTGGGGAATATGTTGATATCCACTTTCCCAACCAGTACCAGTACATTGCAGCTGTGGATTATAATCCGCGAGATAACCAGCTCTATGTGTGGAATAACTTTTACATCCTGAGGTACAACTTGGAGTTTGGCCTGCCTGATCCGGCACATGGTAAGAAACCGTCGCCCCGATCATTTCTCCTGCAGACAATAGTGTTAAATTGCATTGCTGAGATTGTGATTTTAGTTCCTGTCAAGTGCACTTTTATATTCCTCTGCTATCCCCATCTATGTATCAAGTGTCACAGCTGACTGATTTTTAATTTAGAATCTAATATGTGCTAGATATGTTATGGGAAGCTTTGGAGTGTAGGAAAGCATTGAAGTGAGCGGGGCTCTGTGGTAAACAACACCTCGAAGCCAGTTACCATATCATAAGGGATCAGTATCATGGGGATTTGGGAGGTTTACCATCCGGGCGTTCCCTGAGTCCCTGGTGCTAAGGCTCCAGGGACCCCTGCTAGCATATTCCTTTCTTTTTTTTTTGAGAGTGAGTAAGACAGGAAGAGAGAGAGATACTCTCACCTCTGGAAACATACATGTCTGGACAGGTGCAAAGTCTGGCCTGGGGCAAGGTTAGATAATTCCCCCAGTGATGCTGAAACTTGAAATCTCTGTTGGCCATTAAAAAGTGAAAAAAAGCGAGAGAACCCCCCCACTTCATTTTACAGTCTCTAGCTGAAGTGTAAGGATTCAAGGTTCTCCTTAAGACAGAAAGAGATGCAGACACAAAAGAGACGGATCAATCATCCAGGGTCACATCGGCAGCATGTGTTTTTAATTTAGCTGTCAAGAGCTGAGCGGAGACCAGCCAAGGCTTGCAATCGTCCTTACGCTGAGAATATAATAACGGTAATTATCTTAATCCCTCCACACCCAGAATCCTAAGTCCACGTAATGCTCAGCATAGTTAATGATGAGCCACAGAGGTCAAGCAACTTTTTCACAGATTATCCAAGAGCTCAATATTTATTAATGCGTTGGCTCGTCCACTTTGGTATTGATAGGGCACGGCCTAGGGCTGCTAGACTGGGTTCAGCAAGTGGAACAGCATCAGCCTAGGCAATGCAAACCAGGTCTGAGGTCAAATGCACAGGGTGCACTGGCCAAATAAAATTAAAAAATTATCTTTATAACTTGCTTGAAGTTCTTCCACTAAATACTTTATCAATATATCGAGTTTTACCTACAAATTTTGAACAATTGAGGCATATGCTGCAGTCAGAATCCGTTACCTTATTTTTATTATTATTAGTCATGCCTGAACATACATTCACGTACTCATTTGAAGAAATCAAAAATAAGCTGGTTTTGGGCCATTCCCATAAATTTCCCGACAGTCACTGTAAAAGCGCTCGTGTTATTTTTTTCTCCTAACAAATGAGAATCAATTAGTGCATTATGTGTTTATAACCAGCAAACTGACTATGAAGCAGTCAGCATTGTCTTTCCAGATTAACTGATATGGCTTCCCGTAATAAGCTGTTTATACACACACTGCATGCTCAATCAACTTTTTCATTTGTTAAATGGACACTGATCACCGATAGCAAAATAAGAGGCTTTAAAAGGATCTGCCCTGATATAAGAATACACTCCAGTTGTCTGTGTGTCTTAAATCACACTGTGCTAGCTTGTTTATTCACACAGATACCTCTCAAGCATCAAAAAGAGCCCACTTCACTTCCTGTCTAGTACGTTAAGAAATATACAGTCTCTGACATCCTGCATTTCCTTCTCCTTAGGGTTTCCTTATTCTCTCATCTTTATTTTAATGTCTACAAGGACTCGGTTCTCTCCCCTTGACAAATGAGACATGAGCCTGGCCCTGTTGCTGACTAATGTATGTTGAGTTGCAGTCGATGAGAGCAAGGGAGAATGGTCCAGGATGATCATCAAGATGTCAATAAACTTGTCCTCCCACATGGCTGATGTTGACACATAAATGATGGCAATTTTTTCTGGCTGTCACAGGACGCCCTCTCTTTGATATCTTTATGCTCGTTTCAGTGGCTGCATCACTGGCCACTGAAACAAGCCATCAGAATGCTTTTGTGGTGTTAAAAGTTGAACCTATACGTTTTTAGCAGCAGCGACAAAGAAAAAAGAAGGAAACTAAAAGAACATTCTCATGCACTAAAGCCTAGACTACATGCACAGGCACAAAGGTGTGTTTGTGTATGAGTGTAGCAGTAACTGGCCCAAACTTGCAAAATTCTGCTGCTGAATGATGAGTTTGGCCCATTATCAGTCAGACAAACATCCAGTAGTTACTTACCGTGTAACAGGAGGATTTAAGCAGCAAAGTAATAGTTTCTTACTTTTTCTATTTGTTGAATCACCATATGGTGCACAGTGTTTTAGCCCTAAGAATCCAACATGCAAAATAGTTCCACGCTTTCAGTATTTATAGGGCTGTGTTAAACTTTTGACTAATATCTGCAGGTCGTTCTACTTTTAAAGGGACTCTCAGAGAATGAATAGAAGCTGATGGAATTGGTAGGGGCAAGACCAAAACTTTACTTTTACTGCACTTTCTGCTCTATTGCCATTTCTCAATGCACAAACAACTCAGTCACTTGATTTGATCCGTCATGGAACGCTAAGCATCAAAGTGATGCTGAGGCTTTATGCGACAGACATTTGGGTTCTTGTCAAGTCCAATAGCGTTGCTCGTGTAGAGACAAGATCATCTCTTGTAGGATTATGTGGGAGTGGATGGGCTCCGATTCAACAATCAGCTCCACTGGAAGTGGACGCTATATGGGTCAGCAAGTCCCTCTCGTGGCTTTGACCAACGTCAATATAATAAAGTGGTTTTGCTCCTTGCATGTTTCCCTTCTTGCATATAGCAGCCAATGCAAAAGGCACATTCCTTTGTTGCATTTTTTAAGTGAGATGATTACATGGATTTGAATGAGGTATTCCCAAAGAGAACTCATTATGCACCCATTTCTGTGGAGAATGTATTCATGCCAAGCTCTGATATGTGGCCTCAAACCACCGCGTAAGCATCTCCAAAGCCTTTTATACCCAAAGTGGGTAAAAACAAGCTGTGACATTTCCAGGATGGGACACAGGTGAGCCTTGGAAATCTTTTATTTTATCCCGCACTGCAAAATACTACTGTATAAAAGCCCCCAGTGCTGCAGTTAACACCCACGCAAATCAAAACCGCCTCTTTAATTGTTCAAATGTCAATACATTTGCATACAGTTTCAATCTTTGCGCTGCACAGTCAAATTACAACATTCGCAAGTAGGGATCGTAAGAAAGAAAATGACCCAATTTGTCTAAAATTATAAGGTACGGCTCACCGACGCGAGTTGCCAATTAGCTTACAAAAGTCTGCATGTGGTCAAAACAATGCCCTGTAGTTGGCGTGTTATGAAAGTGCTTTACAGTGCAAAAATGTTCAGCTGCTAACAGATGCTTGTGACTCATATGCATTAGCATCACCCTAGAGAGCTTACCTCTTATAGTCTGATAAATATACAGCTCTCTAATAAGCACCACTATGATTCATTTCTGTCTTCTGTGGTGCTTACATGGAGGTCAACTTGTGCGTGGCAACATTTAGAGAGAAAACAAGGAGGGGGGGTAAAAAGATGGACACTGTCAACATCATCATTAAGCTTTCGCAGCCATCTAAGCTGCTCTGCTAAAATGTATAGAGCATGGATGTTTATGTGTCCTCGAGTTTGAATTTGTTCTTTATAATTTTTTTAAGGTGTTGCGATTGTCGAGTAGCCGGCTTGGATAAGGAGGTGCCACTTCCCAGGCTTATTAAAAGGGATGCTACTTTTAGCTAGTTACAACATATGCAGTCCTGACAGTTTCGTTTAGTACGACACTGAACGAGAGAAAACATCTCGAAGCAGCCACACCCTTAAAAAATGTATAAATTAGCCACAATGATCAAAACCATCTTTTTTTTAATTCTTTGTTTAGCCAGGCTGTGCAGTTTTGAAAATGTGTGTGAGGCTATTTCTGGTCAGGTAGTAAGAACTTTGTGTCTGCTCACTGTGGTGCAGGATCATGCTTCAGGATGGGTTAAAAACATGTTTGCCTTGACAACAATCAAGTGTGGACACAGCGGTGTGGATGGGAGGGTATCGATGTGGAAAATCACCCTTTCTGTTTTTGTCTTCATGTTTTCTTTTCTGTCTGTTTCAGTCACATGGTTTCTCACCGTCGTTGTTTCTGTTGCATTCAGTTGTGCTGCTTTACTCTTTCTTTTATTTCTTTATTTCTGAGTTGCAGACACTCATTGTCTCGGTTGGTGCCTGATGCCATCGGACCAAACCCACTCTAACTCTGACAACCAAATCCACATATCTCTCCTAAAGCATGTTTTACCCTTTTCACGTCCGTGACTATACGATAGTCACCTTTGGTCACAGCGATGCCAATTTTGTCATCAGTGAAACCGAAGCTACACGCTGCCATGGCGTGCCTTCAAATTTGTCGTCACAGGCTTGCCTGTGTAGATTTACAAACACGCGTCGTCCCAGAAGACCGTTTTAATAAGAACAACTACTCATCCATGGTGTCCACAGCTGTCCGTCGGCGCCTCCGCAAGCAAGTGCAATCACGGTGTAACATTAAGCACCGATCACATCAGTGCCTCGTTTCTGCTTTGCCCTCCAGCTGATCCAAACTAGCAATTTTTTTCTTTTAAGTCCTCCTTCTCTGTGAATGTACACGAGCTGCGACTTAGAGCCACATGTTTGCATTTTGCAAGCATGTCGTCACCCATAGGCATCTGTTTGACTTCTCTGCTGAAGTCGGGCTAAAGCCTAAGTCAGACTGCTCAAATAATGCCTAGTGAGAGCAGTGCACACTAAATGAGTGGATTTGAGCAAATCCTTAGCTCTGCCTCATGGGGAACTGCGCACACACAACAGGGCAAAGATGGCCATCATAACATGAGCACGCGGCTCACACACTGCTGGCTGTCATTAAGAAGTCATTTCCACTGTTTTGTTTTTTTAAGGATCAATATTTTCATTATATAAAAAAAAAAAGTAAATCCAATATTTCCCATCTGTTCGTAGTTGGATTTTCTACTGATAAATTCTTGGTAAGTAACCATTCGCCTCTGTCAAGGTG